CGTAGTGGCGCAGAGTACAAACAGAACATTTACTAGTGGCGGATGTTGCTGTGGCCGAAAGCGGCAGTACTACTGCAGTTTTCTTGCTTCTGCTGCTCTTGCCTTTGCCTCTAGTTCACTGTTTCTCCGTGTGTTTGCCCTCTTTTTCTCTGGAACTTGGCAGGCTGTTCCAGGACTGTAGGAGAGAGAGAGAGAGAGAAAGAAAGGCAAATCGTTCACTTCGTGAGAGTGCACTTTTTTTTCTACTTACCAAATTGGCAGCGGCAGCAGCAATGTGTGTGTGTGTATGAAGCGGCATCGTCAAATTCTGTGAATCAAAATCTCATGTGTTGTGTAGAACATCATCAGCAGCTAGCAAACTATTGGGCTAGCTGTACAGTGCGCGACAAGTCTGATCTTCCTTTCTTCTTCTGTTCATCTTCTTCTTTCCTTTCTCTCTGCCCATCTTTCTGGTTCATTCATTCACAAAACTAATGACCTTGTGTGTGCAGTAGTAGTGAGTGAGTGCGTAGCAAACGTACACATACACACACGCACACATAGCAGCAGCGACATCAACAGCAGCGGATGGCGATGATCAGACGGCCATGGTCGTCGTTGTTGTTTTTGATGTTGTTGAAGGAAGCAAAGAAGAAGGAGGAAGACGAAGAAGATGACAGTAGTAGGCAGCATCAACTTCAGCGTCAACAGCACCGTAAGGCACCAGTAGACGGCACCATTTGTCATCTAGAGGAGCATCTCCTGGTAGTCCTGCTGGTGGGCATCAGCAGACACACTACAACTACAACTACTACTACTTCTGCCGCCAGTGCTCATTGCTCCCTTTTGCTCTTTTTTCCTCTTCTTTCTCTTTCGTCCCTTTTTCACGCACCCCGTCTGCACTTACCAGTGACCATGTTTCAAAAAGCTTGTTAAATGCATTCTTAAACGCATGAAAAGGAAAAAAGAATATTCTTCCGATTTGAAACTAAGCTCTTCTGTTCTCCGACTCTATCTGTGCTGTGTCTGACTTTGCTTTCCCAGTGGACCCACTCTTCAGTAGTTAGTTGATAGTCTCTCGCCGACGTCTCAACGCAGCCTTGCACTTGTACACTCGTTCTTTATTGAGAGTTGTCAAAAGCAGTGGAGTGTATGTGGGTGAGAAAGACTCTGAGAGTGTGTCAATTGCTCTTTGGGCAGCAAAAACAGTGTTTTGACTTTCCCATTTTTTGCTTTTTTTACACACTCTATCCAAACTTTTAGTTCATCACGACCCTTTTAACCTCAAATCGGCTTTTTCTCATTATTATTAAGCGCAGTGTTTATTACAAACATCATCGGCAGGCCAACATCAACTTCAGACACCGACTTATTACAACAAAAATCATTTTTTACTAAACTTTTGTTGCTTGAAACATGTTTTTTCATCACAAACACAATCAGCACTATCAATATCATCAACAAACCATCGTTAGGAACACTAATATATGCTTTGTTTTTGTTTTACTAATTGCCGCCTGAACGGTAACTTCGTTAACAAGCTGCTAATTATTAAGCTCAAAGATAATTAGCAAAACTACATTTTGGCATCAGAGTCAGCTTTAAATCTTTGTGATTTTGTTTTTCATTAAACTACGCCTGTATTTGTTTCGTGAATTGTTTAAATTATCTTTGGCATCTTCTTTAGAACAGTTGTTTTCACTGCACCGCAAATTGAAAATTGTGCGTGTTTGAAAAAAAATTCATCATTGCTTGCTGGTTTACATTTAATTTTATTTAACAATTTTCCTTCTCGTTAATTTATTCATTTATCATGCAACATTTTTTAATTTAACTACCAACTATTATTGTTTATAGTTATTAATTTTAATTTGATAAAAAAATCTTCATTTACTAACATTGCACCCATGATGCCATCAAGCAATGCTGCAACTTCATCCACATTGCGCTTCATGCTGAAATTTAATTAACTGCGTTCTTTTGCAAAAGTATAATTAAATAAAATTTATCATAATTATATTTAAATAATTTACACTGTCAAATCTTTTTCACGCGTTCAGACACAAAGCAGAGATAATTTACTGAAATATTAATTCAAATTGAAGTTGATTTTATTTTAAATTTGCCTCCAACAGCTAGAAAACGTTTCAACTGCAAAATTATTTTAAAACAGAGCTTAAATGCTTTATTTTATTTTCTGATAATGTTGAAAATAATTAATAATTTAGTGATTGCAAATAATAATCTTGTAATTTCTAGTTTTCAAACGTATAAACCTATTATTTTAACGTCTACTGATGAATTATTGATCATTTCAAAACCGCAGATTATAATTTGTAATTCGAAATTGCTTCTGATTTATGTTTTGATATGTTTTTTGCTAGTTTATGTTGATAAACAAACAAATATTTTTTGGTTTGTTAAAATAAGCTATTTTTGAACTACTGTTGGCATGTTCAAGACGCTTTAATAAAATTGTTGTAGCTTATTTTTAAACGAACGCAAAATGAGTCAAAAATTATTTAATGTTAATATTTGTTAAAAATGTTATTTTTTTTATTTACAACAACGTTTAGCAACTAGCTTCGTAATTTTTAAAAGAAAAGTAACATATTCCAGGGATAAGCGTTTTTATTTCACTTACTAAAAACATACAAACTTGCAATAGTTAAAAAACGAATTACGTTATTTTTCTAAACAACAGCAATTTTAAAATTATTTCAGGTTTAAACACCACAAAGCAATCACAAGGCCAAGAAAGAAAGGAAAACAATTGAATTGAAAAGATATAAAAGAAAAGCAAAGTGCAGAGAAGAGGAAGAAGCAGGGGCAGGGGCAGGAAAGAAGCAGCAGCAGCAGTCTGCACTGCAGCCGCAAAGATGCCCATCAGTCCCAGCAATTCGGATTTGATGCCTGAAAAACTAAGTCGAAAGGAATCCTCTGAACTAGAATACGGCGGTGGTGGTGGCAGTGGACTGCGCGGTGACCCAGGCGGCGGTGGCACTAATTCCAATGGCACGCTAAACACGCTGACAGACGGGGGCAACAACAACAACAGCGGCAATCAAAACGGACACGGTGATCAGCTGGAGACGGTGGAGTTCAGTGATGCCTGTCTCACCTCTGTGAAGGCTTTCTTTAGAAACAAAGGCATCTGCGGTGAGTGCTCACATTTAGGCATCTCCATTTTACCCGTATTTCACTAAACACTATCCTCATTTCAGGCTTAGAAGACTGCTTTTGGATACTCTTTCTGGTGAACGTCATCGTCTTTCTGGTGATAAAAGCAACGACGCGACACACCTTTTCGCAGATATTTTACGCCTGGTTGGGCGTCTGTGTGGCGTTGATAGCGGTGTACTGCTTGGCGGCGACGTTGAACAAGTTTATCCTTGAGGACAGCTCTACTGCTCACTGGAATGCTCACGCCCGCTTCACTCAGGCGGCCATTCAGGAGCGTCTCAAGGAGGAGGAAATGCGCGTACACGTTATTGCACCGCCAAAGATGGGCGGCGCCAAGTTGAACATTCTCTACACCGTGGGCGATGTTCCGCTGGCCAGAGACAACAGTGGTCGCTCTACAGGCGGTCGGCCAAGCTCAGGTTCACTTGGAGTATCGGCTGCTGCTGCTGCGACTGCCGCAGGAAGCAGTGCCGGTGGCTACGGTGCCGGCAGTAGCAGTTCAGGAACGCCCACCACAGCAGTTGCTTTGACCACATCGGCGCTGATAGCACCGGCTGCCTTAAGCTCGGCAGTGGCGGGCATTGCAAAGGGCTCTGCCAGCACTGCTTCCACTGTCGCCCACGCCTCTGCCACCGCCTCCTCTTCCTCTTCGACGCCCAATTCACCGCCACAACAGAAACCGTCCTCCTCTTTTTCCGCTACGACGACAAAAGTGATGACTACGGCAACGAAAAGCGCATTAGTCAGTGGAGTAAGCTCTTCTTCAGTGATAAAACCTTCAAGCTCACTGAAGCTGTCAAATACTGTTTCAAGCTCTAGTGGGGGAACCAGCGGTAAGCCTCCGCCACTAGAGGCAATAGCTGACGCTTCTGAGCCGTCATCGACTAGCAATTCCTCTTCGACGTCCTCTTCAATATCTTCTAGTTGTAGTAGTAGTAAACCGATCAGCATCACAGGTGGCGGCAGTGGTGGTTCTGGCGGAGTAAACAGCAACAGCAACCTTGTCGCCAACATTAAGAGCGGCAGCTCATCGAGTGCCATCAACGCCGCCACTGCCGTATCCCTGCTTCCGGAGACAATCGACGAAGAGTCTGATGACCGCATCGAGTCACCACTTGATGATGAGGAGGAAGAGGAGGACGATGATGAAGGCCTTAGTGAGGCACTAATTCAGAGAGCAGAGAGGAAAACATTGCTAACGGAGGAAGAAAAAAAGCAGCAATAACTAGCAAAGTACAAGTAAACATGCAAATCTTCAATTTTTTTAACCTACTCAATAAAAACATTTTTTCTTAGACCTTTTATTTTCTCAATTTTTTTGTTTTTACTTTTTGTCAAACCAGATATGAGAATGTTTTTTAGCGCAAAATGGTGTTCATTTATATTATCTACTTTCTGTCACTCTTTTTTCTACTTGTAACAGCAACAAAAAGCAATAATTGTGCAATTCCTTCACTCACTCCCTGTTTTCAAGTCAAATTATAATATATATTATATAAAATGTTTAATATCTTTACCATTTATAAATATTTAAATGTTATTCTCTTTATTTTACATTACTTTTCATCATTATCACTTTCACTCATGCATTTTTATTTATTATATTAAAATTTGTAATTACCACATTTCATTAATTTATTTTGTAAGTTTTATTATCAAACACTAAAAAGCCAACTTCTCTGTACATAAAAACTCACTAACAAACATTAAAAATTATGCCAAATGTAATTAGATATGGTTTAATTTGAAAAAAATAGGTATTTTTTAAATAAAACTAAAACAAAAATAAAACAAAGAGTGATCACAAGATCTGCCCCAATTTTTTCCCCATTCAAACCATGACAAGTTATACCTTTTTGGAAAGGTAATTTTAAACTAACACAACATGAAAAAATATCAAAGTGAGGAACAATACAGTTTTTGAGAAAATCGGGTCCAAAGTTTTTAAAAATGCATTGTTTTCAATGAAACAAAAAAATCAGCAAAAATGATTCAATAGAGGGCGACACCATCCACAGCTGACTGATGCAGCGATATAGTAAATGCATAAGAAATGGCAACTTTGGGCCCGATTTTCTCGAAAACTGTAAGGTTCCTCACTCTAATATTTTTTCATGTTGTGTTAGTTTAAAATTACCTTTTTAAAAAGGCATAACTTGTTGTTGTTTGAATAGGGAAAAAAATTGGGGTGAAGCTCTATGGGCAGTTGTGATAATTCTTTAAAAATTTTTTTTGTTTAACATAAACGCCATCTATTTGTAATAAATCATTTTATTTTTTGAGCATTTTAAAAATTATCAAAAATAGTTTTGCATAAATGAAAAGACACTAAAAAATTAAAAAGCATTAATTAAAACAACCAAATNTATTTTTTGAGCATTTTAAAAATTATCAAAAATAGTTTTGCATAAATGAAAAGACACTAAAAAATTAAAAAGCATTAATTAAAACAACTAAAAAAATTAATTACCTTAGAAAATCCGCGAATTGACATAACCATTTTAAACAAAGGACCATAAGTTATTCCATACATTTGCCAACTGTTTACATGATATTTGACAATTAAGTTTGCCAACAACAAACGATTTGATAAAGAAACGTTATTACATATAGCATTGAGTTTAATTAACAGTTTATTAGGTTTGTTAAATTGGTTTGTAAAATATGATGCCGCAAAATGTATTGCAATTGTACCGTTAAGTTGAGAAAATATGTAAATTAGTATAAAAAATTTTGATAACGTACTCAAATTGTGAAGAATGATCAAGCTTGTTAACTACGCATTCATCGGCAAATTAATAAATAAAAAAGCTAAAATTAAAGTTGAATAATTTTTGTTAAGTACATGCAAATATTGTAATAAACGGATTTGCTCTGTTTTAAAATGTTGCACAAAAAACCAGTTAAAATGAAGTTCAGCTAGAGACAAAATGTTGTAATTTTGGTGAGCTTTTAAAAACAAAATTTTTAAAATTAAACTAAATAAAACATTACTTAAAACTAAAATATGACTAAAACTAAATATAACAATCTGAAATATTATTAAGTGACTTAAATGAATGTTAATAAAAAAATATCCAATTAAACTTGATGTTAAACATTTATAATTTGAAATAAAAATTCGAAACATGTTAAATTCAGTAAAAATAAAAAACAAATCTAAATTAAAAAATTGTAAACATTTATGTTCGTTACTTAAAATTTTATTTTTGTTTTTAAAATTTACCTAAACTAGCTGTGTAAATTTGAGTAAAGTTTAGCAACAAAAATGCAAAATGCTGAATTTTAACAAATTCGTTCCGATTAATTAAAAAATTAACTTTTAAAAAATTTGATTTGTTTAAAAATAAAACCTCATTAGTAACGTTTAAAAACATTGAACATGGATAAAAATACAATTGTTTATAAAAATAAATAGTATTCAAAATATTTAAAATTAACAGAACATGACGACTGTTATACGGAATAATAAAATAAAAAGCATCATAATGTAAAAATATATCTAAATCATTTTTTACAAGAAATAAATAAAAATGAAATGAGTGAATTATAGCAAATGTCGACAAAATTAAAATAAAATAAATTTGAAATTTGCAAAATTTTTTATTAGATTGAATACTTGTGATTGTTGTAAAGTAATTTTGATAAAACTGAAGCGTTTTGTATGGAGTTAAAGTAAATTTGATAAACAATAAAAATTTTAACATTTTGTATAGCAAGTTTTAAAACGTTGTCAAATAACTTTGACTTAAAACAGTAAAAAACAATATTTTAAAAAACAAACTGTGTATTTTTTAAATTATAATTTTTGTATAAAAATGTTTCTAAAGTAACTAACTTAAGAAAACTTTTAAATTTTAAAAACTTTCGATTTTTGTTTACGCAATAAAACATTTTACAATTTAAACAATATGGTGTATTGTATTTGTAATTTTAAATGTTTTTTAAAAAATATAAATAAAAAGTAGTGCATATTTAGTAAAAAACATTATCAAAAGTTTTGCTGATGGAAAATCCGTTGTCGTCTCAAAGTCTAAGTGTTTACAGATATTATATTAAGATATTTTAGTTATTGCAAATTATCATATAATAAAGATTGTTACATAATTTTCTACTTTAGTTTATAACTTTATTGCTAAGTTTATGTTTTTATTTTTAAAATGAAAAACCTTGTTTTATTCATTTTTTTAGTTTTTGCTGAACGAGTGTTTAGTGAAACAACTCATGTTGTAACCACAACAAAACATGTTTTAAGTACAACCGCTCATCCTTTAACTACTCACCCTCCCACCACAACTCATCCCCTGCCTTCATCAGAGATTGTTTTGCATGATAATCATGATTTTGAGCTAAAGAATCTTCATCGAAGTGGATCAGTGCTAAAATTTAGCCTCCGTGGTCCAAACATCACTGGCACTCTGGAGCACCGTTTTGAAAGCACCTGGCGAATTAAACTTTCTGATAAAACAGACATTTTTATTGATAAAAAACACTCAAAGTTGGCCAACAACACTGAGTACCATTTCCACTGGTATGGAGAGAAATCTACGCTGGACAGAGAAGTGTGTTTTCACTATGCACATAACAATGCAAGTTGGTAAGTTAAAAAAATTTAGTTTAGTTTGAACAAAATTTTACAAATGTTTTCATTTTACAGGTTTAGTACCTACGAGGAAAAAACGCAAAACTGGCCAATGGACACAAAGAAAAAAATTCCCAAAGGAAAGGGCTTTGTGACCTCTGACTTTTTTAGCACTGATTTTGGCTCAATCATTGAGCAACTTTTTGTCACTTCTGACGGTTTTGCAGTACTGCTCAACGAGTTTGACTCTTGGTTTCTCCGACGGGATCCCAACGGCGGCGATCCGTTGCTCTGTGTAGCAGTAGATCACAACCATTTTCCCTACCATCGATACTACAAGGAAGACTACTTTCACATCGAGTTTCGCATCATGGCTGCCAGAAATGTACGCGAGGCTCACCAGACGGTGATGAAACAACCTGGATGGATTCCCAAACCAACTTCCATACCTGATGCAAACCTTTTCACCTCTCCCATTTGGTCGACCTGGGCCGTGTACCACAAGAAGATTAACCAGTCGACGGTGCTAGAGTTTGCTCAACAGGTGAAAAAGCACGACTTCCCGGTAGCACAAATTGAAATTGACGACCTTTGGGAGAAGCACTACGGCGACTTTACTTTTGACGTTGCCAAGTTTCCCAACGCCACCAAACTAGTAGAGGATATTCGCGCTCTCGGCTACCCGACCACATTGTGGGTGTACCCCTTTGTGAACTCGGACTCGGCTGCTTTCAATGAAAGCGCTCCCCATTTGACGCGCAACTCCAAGGGCCAACTAGCCGGTGTCACCTGGTGGGACGGTGTGGGCGGCATCATCGACTTTAGCACACTCAGTGCAGCCGATTGGTTTGTGGGTCGGCTGAAGAAGCTGCAGGCAGAAACGAAGATTCACTCATTCAAGTTTGACGCAGGCGAGGTAGGCTGGTACGGAAGCGACTTTAATTTTACTGACTCTTTTGTGGGAGAAAATCCCAGTCTGATGACTCTACGATATGTATTTGCATGCGCTCGAATGGGCGGAAGCATTGAAGTCCGATCTGCCTACCGAACTCAAAATGTGCCCGTTTTTGTGCGAATGCTCGACAAGAACTCACACTGGGGCTTGGACAACGGCCTAAAGTCGCTGATCACGACGGCGCTGACAATGTCACTGGGCGGCTACTCCTTCATTCTGCCTGACATGATCGGCGGTAATGCCTACGGCCGCCATCCCAGTGAGGAGCTGTACATTCGCTGGGTGCAGGCAAATGCCCTCCTGCCAGCGATGCAGTTCAGCATTCCACCGTGGGCCTACAGCCAGTCGACGGTCAACCTGACAAAACGGTTTCTCGAGCTGCACAAGCACCACTCAGCGACTTTTATTGCGCTGGCAAAACGAGTTCAGCACGGTGAGCCCATCATTCGGCCGATGTGGTACGCCGCTCCTGAGGACGCCCGAAGCTTCACCATTGCAGACCAATTTATGGTCGGCGAAGACCTCCTGGTGGCGCCCGTTGTTGAGGAGAATCAACGACAGAGGAGTGTCTTCTTTCCAAGTGGCACCTGGGTTGACCAGCATGGCAAATCGTACAACGGTCTTTCTGTTGCCACAGTGCTAGCCCCTCTAGAAGAGCTGCCGTATTTTACACGAAAACACTAAACGTTTGAATTTT